GCGCTACCAGACTGCGCCACACTCCGACAAGTCCAAGATTATAGCCTGAAATTTGGCCCTGTTGGCGGCCTTAATACGAGCCTGAATACATCCAGGCGTTCAGCAGGGCTATCCTGTTCAGGAAAAGAATGCTTCCTTCACGGCTTCCGACTCCCTGGCTTCTTCCATCAACCCGGTCCACGCGACGCGGCCTGCGGACATGACGATGGCGCGCGAAGCGATGGCATGCGCGATGTCCAGGTTCTGCTCCACCAGCAATATCGATACGCCGCGTTCCTGAATCGCCTTGATTGACGCCACCATGGTCTTGACAATGCCCAGGGCCAGGCCGGCAGAAGGTTCGTCAAAAATAATCATTTTGGGCGAGGCCATCAGCGAGCGGCCAATGGTCAGCATTTGCTGTTCGCCGCCTGATAGCGACGATGCCAGCTGCGTGCGGCGCTCCTTGAGTTTGGGGAAGAGCGTGAAGATTTCTTCCAGCTCCGGCGGCTTGCGGTCGCCTGCGGCGTTGGCGCCTATCTCAAGCGTCTCCTGCACACTGAAGGTGGGGAAGAGCTCGCGCCATTGGGGCACCAGTGACAGGCCGGCTTTTGCAATGGCGCCTGCCTTGAGCTTGCTGATGTCCTTGCCGCCGAAGATGACGGTGCCCCCGGTTTTGGAGATCAGGCCGGCAATGGCTTCAACCGCCGTGGTTTTGCCGGCGCCGTTGGCACCGAGAATCGCGACCGCTTCACCGGCCCCGACCTGCAAAGACAAGCCCTGGGCTGCCATGACCGAGCCGTAGCCGGCGCTCAGATTGTTGACTTCAAGCATCGGCTGTCTTCCCGAAATAAAGCTGTTGGACAGACTCGTTGGCCATGACCTGTTCTGGTGTGCCTTCTGTGATGGCTGCACCTGCGGCCATCACAAAAATGCGGCTGTTATCTCCTAAAAGTCAGGTAGCAGGACCCTCAGTCACATGGGTGGTTTGCTGCCGCGAATTAAAAAAGTGCGACAAGGGAGCTAGTGCCTCCGCTTGACCGCTGCGACTGCTGCCATTTTCACCGATTGCCGCATACTTGGCGTCTGCGCGCTCTCGCGTACGACGTGCTTGTCGTGTTTTCGCTCTCCTCGCGCTGTGTCTCAACGTCGTACCATGGTCGGCCTCCAAGAAGAATTTCAGTATTTCTATGATACTTTTTAC